ACCTGTCACATGAAGCCTTTCCAGCCAGCCAGCCAGCTGAGTCACTCTGCTGATAAGCTGACCATGTAGCTTCTCATGTGGAGGACTCTCACGGTGTAAAAGGCGATGTTATCGAAAAGATCAGTCCAACACAAACATAAGTGTGTGAGTGACAGAAAGCACACCAGTATTTTTGCTAGCTGCCACTGTACTATTTACTTACTTTAGGGTATCACAAGTTTAACGGCTTCACTTAATCACAGCTGAAGCAGATACTTGAGAACCAGAAATCTTTGGCTCTGTCTACTGAAAGTTTTAAGGCTGCTTGGACAGCTGCCTTCCCTGCTTTAAGTGATCTATTAAAAGTCTAAATTGCCTCTTATTGTTGTGTTAATACTTTACAGTCAGTCCCTCCTCAGGCCTCCTAACTCAAATGGTGTATCTCAATGTGACTTTGTCTGAAGGAGAAAAGCCATGCTACAGATCCCATTGGACTAAACATTGATCCTGTGCCTTATCACAATATCAGGGAAAGACACTGGATTGTCCTAGGCCAACCTTTTCTGTTTAATTTTCCTTGCAGCTCAGTGCTAAGTACGGGCATGCATCCATGAGGAGTGGTGCAGCACCTCCTCCGCTTGCAAACATCTCTCTCCCCACAGATGTGGGGTTCCACTGCTTCTCATGAGCTGCCACTCAGCTCCACAATCCTATCACCACTTCAGTGGACAAGGAGAAAATCCCTTTGCCCTTTAGGATCTTGAGTGCAACTGGCCAGTTCCATGAGGGTAAAACAGCTCATGCCTGGCACAGCCTGTATTTTGACGTCCTAACAGTTATCAGTCATGCATGGACAAGGCTTGGTTACATGACAATGCAAAGTACTACCCCTTCTTCCCAACAGGAAGGTGGACAGAAGCTCAGACAGGCTGTGTAGCTCACTAACCATCACAAACAGAGCTTGTCTACACTGCTGTTGTGGTTTAAGCCCAGACAGTAACTCAGAACCACGCAGGTGTTCTTTCACTGAACCCCTAGAGGGATGTGGAGGAGAATCAAAAGAATGTAACTCCCATGGGTTGAGATAAGAACAGTCCAGTAACTAAGGTATAACACAAATCACTGCTGCTGCCACCAATAGGAATAATGATATGGGAAATAACGAGGGAAGAGAATACAACCGCTCACCACCCGCTGACTGAGACCCAGCCCAGCCCAAGCAGTGATCTAGCCCTTCCAGGTAACTGACCCCAGTTCTACATCCTGGGCACGACGTGCTGTGGTATGGAATACCTCTTTGGCTAGTTTGGGTCAGGTGTCCTGTCTCTGCTTTGTTCCAGCTTCTTGGGCCCCTCCTCAACAGCAGAGCATGAGAGACTGAAAAGTCCTTGATTGGGACAAGCACTACCTATCAACAACTAAAAACATCAGGAGTGTTATCAGCATTGTTCTCAGACTAAAGTAAAAAACACAGCAGTGCGCCAGCTACTAAGAAAGAGAAAAATGACTGTTACAGCTGAACCCAGGACAACTGCCAAGTGGATGTTAGTGTTGAGACGCCTTCTCTACCGACAGCACAAGGTGGTAAATCAAACAGCTTTATCATAGCCTGAACTTAAAGTTCAGGTCTGGATGACATGTATATATTCCCCAGGTGGTGAGGGTAAGCTAGTGAATTGAAGTCTTTACAGGACTCATCAGCTGGGATGAGCAGGCTTGCCAGCACAGCTGCATGGCTGTGGGGCTGAGTAGGTTCAGCTCTGCCCCTGCCCTACATGCCTGCACTGAGGTTCATACGGACAGAGCTTAGCATGGTCTGCCTGCATCCTCCAGCGTAAGTACACAGAAAGGAGACTAGATCACAATAGTGAATTAAGCTTGTTTCTTAAGTACCACCCAAGCACTGCAGTGAATGAGCTATCTTTCCCCCATTACAATGAGAGAGGAAATTCAGTGGTGGTACAATGCTTTCCTCTAAATGGTCAAAACTCTTCAGCAGACCCACTTGGCCTACACTACAGCACAGAGAAATAAAAGCAGCTAGGGGAATAAAAGTGCCTTAGGACCACTGTAAATCTTTATTTCATGGAAAATCTTATCTTGCACATGAATATGTGCTGCAAGTAAATTTAATGTGTGGATTAAGTACTGTGCGGTCTCCCTCATGGTGGGCTTTTCAGCCTAAAAAGAACAAAAGAATAATAATGAGTGTTGTGTTTGGGTATGATTGCAAACAGCTGTAATTTACAGCTGGACATTCTCCATTGCAAATGTATCCAGCAAGCAAATGCTTCTGGGTTAGTGGAACAGACTGCAAAAAAATAGCTTTTTTAGCCTTAAGGTCAGAGTTCTGGGACCATGGGAGTCAATAGTAAAATCTATTTAGCTCAGTGGGATTAAGCAGGTTTAAGACCTGACTTAACCACACCGCTTACTGCTAAATAACAACAGAACACACTGAATATTTTAGTTATAGACATTTTTCTTCATTTGAAAGCTATTCAGGCAGCGGCTGTGAGAGTCAATTGAAGGTATGCTAGCACTATACCATTAAGGTATATGAGTTAAGTTCTTGCTCTTCTTTGTCCTAGAAACTGTGCAATCTGTACATCTAGACCACTTTGCTGAAGAGCACAATAAAATTAAAACCAAAAGCTGGGCTGTACAAACACCGAGGGTTTTTCATGAGAGAATGAAAAGCTAATGGGGCCAGTGCATCTTTCCTGACAAAATAGCCAGTGCATGTGCAGAGCAACCTGTCTTCTGGAAGCAAAAAAGCTGTTTCAGTCAAGCTTCTGGGTCACTAATCTTTGTGTTTGCACATAAATCTGCTGGGGGTTACTGTGTCATTCTGAAAACAAGACTGAGTGCAATACACTAAAGAAATCAATGGCTACATGTTTAAAACCTTTTCTTTTTTTTCCCCTCTCCCTCCTTCAGTTTAGCTAACTTACCTTTTTAACAGAATCTGAAAGCAAAAATTGTGACAGAAACTGCTGGAAAATATTGGGAAAAAAAAAAGACGACAAAATTACTGGAGCTTTATTTAAGCTGACACCTCCCTTTGTGCTGGGAAGTGCTGGTGTGTGACTGGGGAGCTCTTAGTTGCTACCGGGACACAAGTAATGAGCAGCAATATCACAGGCATCCTCACTTTAGCCAAGACTAGACAGAAGCTGCCATCACAGTGTGGGTTTTTGGACCCCTGCCCTCCCGTTTGCTCGCTGCAGCAAGGTTAGAGGAGGCAACCCTGCAGGGTGCACCCGCAGCCATCCCAACACCCCTCCAGAGGGTGCCCTGGCAGCCAAAGGGAGGTTTGCAGAGCAGGTGAGAAAGCTGCAGTCCCCACGCCTGCTTTCAGGGGCACGGAGGGGAACACATGGTCATAAATAATGAATCTGAAGTCTGATGGGCAACATTTAAGCCCCGAGGATGGGAGCAGCCTGCACCCAGCTCCTTCACCAGCTCTGATGAGTTAGGGAGCATCTATCCATCACTGCCCCTTTTCTTTTCTAGGGGAGACAGAGCACTGCAGGCTTTGGGGCTCATTAACTACCTCCAGGGGCACTTCTGAAGGAATGTTCCTCATTCAGCCCCAGGGAAGTATGCTGAGAAAAAACACCCCACATTTGGTCACGGTATTGTCCCCACCAAGTGCAAAAGCTGCTTTGCCTCCGGGGGGCAAACTCATACACCTCCAGGGAGAGGGGCGTAATGATGACTCTGGCACCTCTTTCATTTTGCTTTCGTCCTAGCATATACTTGTGTGCCCTACAACCGTGCCAGCGATTTCACCCACCTCCCATACATTTCACTCGGGAATTTTATTCCTTAAGGGGGGGGAGAAAATTCTAAATAAAACAGTGTTTGTAAACTTAAGGGGGGAGAAAGGTCGATAATTTTGGCGGTCTTAGCTTCCAAGCAGAGAGAAATGTTATTCATCCATGCACAACATATAATTCAGCCTAAGTGACAGGCTCTGCTCTGGAGAAATCCTGGCCTGAGCTGGCTTCCAGAGTCAATTACTGCTTATTCCCAGGGAGGCGGGGGGCGGGGGGCCAGACGGAGCAGAGGGGGCTGCCAACAAGGCATGGGGAAATTTACTCTGTGTCAGCCTGCATGACACAGTACCTCATTTGTGGATAAATGTAAATCTGCTAGTCCTTTTTCACAGGCACTAAAATGTACAGTCTCTCCTCCCCCTTCCCCCACCCCACCCCCCACCCCCTCACCCCGTGCCCAAAACTGGAAAAGAAATCAGGACCGTCTTAGAAAGCTACCTTATATTTCAATCAATCCTCTTTCATAAAAGTCATTTAAGGTAAATACCTGTGCAGACCTACGGGCCCAACCATAACATTTACTATGGCCCAAATCCTGAATTCCTCACTCGGGCAAGCTTCCCAATGAAGTTAATGGATTTTTGCTTGAAAAAGAGCTGAGTAAAACCTGAACACTGTCTAAGGATTTGGTCCCCTGCTTATCTGCCTGGAGCACTGCTGCAGTTCTAGAAAAAGTGAAGAAAAATGAATTAAATTCCTCCAAAACACCAATCCCTCAAAACTTAGGGGTAAAAAAGGGATTGTTTTTGTGCATAAAACGTACAGAGAATCTCATCAAAAAAAGAGTAATTCCCAGGGAAAGGATTTAGAAAAAGTCAAAAGAGAACATCTCAGAATAAATGAAGTACTTATTGCTGAAAAATGAGCTCAGATATATCTCAGCAAACTCTAAAGCTCAGAATTTACTGCATCATTCATGCCCTCTCCAGTAAGTTTCTTATCTCTCGTTTGGTATCACAACAAGGGATTCTGCATACTCTGTATGAAATACAACAAGACTGTGATTTTTTGCAGTAATAAACTCTACACATGCATGACAAATCCAAGCATGCAAAATGTTTAACATCCCAGTTCACAGATACTTTGGGGACAAAATCCGATTATGAGTTATATGCCACAATAAATAGGGCTCAACGTTTCATAAAGCAATTTATAGTTCATAAAAATGACAAAATGTACCTGTCAGATAGAACGCGGAGAGCAGATCTCTGTGCTGCCTGCTGGAAGAAAGGGCAGAGATGTTTATTTTATATTCTGACTTGAAAATTACGAGCACAATCAACACTTTAAAAAATGCGTTACACACATTTTTGTCATGTGTCCAAAATGTTAAAGTACGAGCAAAGTAGCAGGGAGTCTATAGTCAAATGGACATTCCAGCCTACTAAATGTAAGAGCACTTTGTTAAGTACACAGTAAACTAGAAGACTGTCAAAGCACCGCACGGTATTTGAGGTCTCGACTACTCTATTTAGACGAGTTTTTCTGCGGGTCCCTGAAAACTCGGCAGGGTTTGTTTCCCTGCCTTCCCGTCTCCCCGCTTCCGCACTCCCACTCCCTCTCCTTTACCATTAGTCTCCTCCCATTCTTCCACAGAAACAAACATCACATATTTTGGTTCCTTTTGCGATGAAGCCTGTAGCTATAATTACGAATTTTGCAAAGCTTGCCAGAGCTGCTGCAGACATTTCATGAGCTCTGCCATGTTACTCTGCTGGCAACTTTTGACTACACAGTACAGCATTGACCTGTTGCTGGTTTGCTCCTCAGGTTTTGCCTAGTACAACTCTTTGGATGGGGTGGGGAAGCATGGTGCTTGTTCTTGTATTAACCAGCAGGTCTGGGAATAGAAATTGTAGCCTCTCAAGTTTAATAGGGTTCCCAAGCCTATCCCTGAGCTGGTTTGCCACTTTATGATTATTATTCTTTCCCCTCCTTCAATCACTTCAAGCGGTGTGATTCATGGCTTCAGCACAGTAACCAGCTGCTAAGCAAAGATGAAATACATAATGGCTTGAAAGTCTATTTTAAAGCCTCCATTTCACTTGAAGCTGCCCAGAGCATCCCCTTCCTAGCTGTGTCTGTCCAGGCTGTGCCTCACCTGGCACAGAAGTGACAAAGATAAGCAGTACAGAAAGTCAAGGAAGGGGCAGAGAATTAAACATTAGTTTTGTCTTTGCAGTTTCCAGTAAATAATGTTTTGAAACCATTCTCCCTGGCTTCTCAGGCTGCTGAGGTCTGTATCCCTATTCCCGAACAAGCCGCATGGCTTGCAGGCATCCTGCTCAGCACTAGAGACCATGGAGGTAACCCTTCTGGCTAGTCAAAACGCTGGTGACAGGTTGTAAAGAAAAGCTTGCTAAAAGCTGACTTGTGGTTGTAGTTATGAAGCATTTTGCAGAAACGTGTGAAAAGATCCCCTGAGTGGATCTCTGTAGATCTGACAGGAGTGAAGGAATGGGAAGAGTTTCTACTTGAAGCAGGAACTTTCTGGAATAACTTGTGCCTCCTGAGTTCCCTGGGAAGAAGTAATTTGCCATGTATCAGACACCAAATTGTTAGAAGACAAGGTGGCACAGCTTGCAGGAGGGGTTTACCTTATTGGTGACTTTTACAGCAGGCAGAGAACCTGTTGGAAGCGCTGGGAAAGTCCCAGCAGCTCAGTAAGGGTATGCCCACGGCACAGACATGATGGTTTTAGTGTCAGAAGAATAATATTTGGAGTCTGGTATTTTTTACTTTCTTCAGTAGGTCATCCTGTTTGCATGGTCTTTGGATAAAACACCATCCATGTTACTCAGGCTACTGGTACAGGGCAGGATTTATTGGGAGCAGCCATTCTTCAGTCCAATGGGCTGGCACCATTTTTACACTCTCCTCTGCAAGGAGGAGAGCTCATTATGACAATTTCATCCCACAGAGACCCAAACCTTAGGTTTAAGAATGTCTTATGGCTTAAATGTCTTCTTTAATGCCCTGGGCCACTGTAAGTTCATATCCTCCCTGCCTAATCACCCTCACTAGCAGGAAGCTGTTTCCATTTTGAGTTTCAAGCTGCTTAGCTTCATTGGTGAGGCTTGTGCTGTGTTAAGCCTTTGCCTGCAAAACTCCAGAGCCTCCTCTCACTATGAGAGCCCTTTTACATGGCCAAGTTGTTTAGACACCATTCAGGTCATCTCACCTTTTCTCCTGCCAGGATCTAGGGCTAGTCTTTCACTCACAATCAGCCACTACGTGGCAGTGCTGTTAAAGTCACTTCTAGTATTTCCCACTCTTGGCTCAGGCCACCACAAGTGTTCATGTGGTTGTTCAATGCAACAGGTTGGAAAACTGATCCACCTGAAAAATAACACCTTTCCTTCTTTTTTATTTATTTTCCATTTTCTTTTCCTTCCTTCCTTTCCTTCCTTTCCTTCCTTTCCTTCCTTCCTTCCTCCCTTCCTCCCTCCCACCCTCCCTTCCTTCCTCCCTCCCTCTCTCTTTTTCTCTCTTTCCCCCTCTCTCTCTTTCTCTCTTTCCCCCCAGGTAATTTGTAACCTGGATCCCTCTTCCCAGCTGCTTCCCCAGGGAGAGGTTGTCACACCGCAGGATGTGGTGTGAGAATGGGAATGGGACCATGTGGGCGGTGTGCAGTGAAGACCTTTGCTGCTGAGATAAGGGTGTGTCCACCTGCAAGGTCACTCTCACCTGACATCACGCTTACTGCATTCTGGGGAGCTGTAGAGCACTCCTGGAGGAAGGTACATGGTGGTTGCCACAGCTGGAAGGCTGAAGGAAACAGGCTGCTCTGTAGCCACAGGCCATACGGACCTTACAAGAGACCTCAAGAAAGCAAGCATGGACTTTGATGATACTAAAAGCCCTCAACGTGGGGGCATGGGGTATGTATCACTCTTGTATTTCCCCCAGATCCCTCATTTTGAGAGAGAGAAAAGAGCTGGATACTTTCTTTTCCAGTCTCAATAAAAGCTGCATGCAGGAGGGAAGAGGAGAGGACTCTTATCTTGACCTGTTTAAGGTGCTAACTGTGTGGTGTTGGACTGCAGTCTTGATCAGTTTCCATCCTGGTGCATCCAGTTGCTGACAACTTTGAAAAGGTGATACCTTCTGGGCAAGAAAGTGGGTTCAAATGACAGGCAGGGCAGCAGAGAGAAATGGACAAGTGCATTTCAGTGAGATCGCACTTTTTCAATTAGCCTCTCATTTTAAGTTCTTTAATAAACGTCCTTTGCATGGGGCACCTCAGTCTTTGCCTGGTAGTTGCACATTCTGTAAATGAGGCTATTGATTTCTTTCTTACACCACTTGAAAATACATCCGTGTCTGACTGCATATTTGTGTGACCCCCTGAGTTAGTAATGGCCCCATTTCCAAATGACGGGGGAATAAGATCCAGTCGCAAGTTTATTCTTCCTCCCTGGAGAAACAGATCTATTGCCTGCAGTGAAAGGCAACTATCTGGCAATTTTAATTCTAGCCTATATTGCTGCCCTCTCCGGGAGAGAGTGAGCTGTTGTAATTAAAGGTAGTTAGCAGTTCACTAGCAAGTATAAACACTTGCAGCCACTAATTACAGTCTGCTTTCTTGTTCCCCTGCTACAGGACTGAGCTGCTCAACTTTGGGCGAAATATCTGCCCTTGCTTCTCACTAACAGTTTTTTGTGCCCCCATTCAGACTCATTCATGAATCCCCATGCAGGGTCATGACCTATTGTTTGAGAAACTCCTGGCTATAGAAACAGCTTTCTGTGATTTATTATGTTTCTAATATGCTGGTGTTATCTATGTAACAATATAAGCAAAAGGGTGGTACTTACTATCAATACTGCCTGCATGACTATTTTTTTAATAGCTTGATTTTGATTGTGCTATTTAATTTGCATTTTATTTTACATCGTTAACAACTTTACTGAGGCCAACTCATCATCCACCAAGGAAGATGAGAATATGGTTCTACAGCCTTTATTATTTCTGGAAGTAAGTGACTACACTGGTTATAGAAATATGGGATAAGAAATAATTTTAAAGTTTGATATTGCTGACAGAATTTAAAGATCTCTAAGACTTACCACTAAAAAGGGCTTTATGGGAAGCTTAATAGTCTCTTGATAAGTTATCAAGCATGTTCACCAGCAATGAGTATAATCCTGAATTTTCAGTTCATGGAATCAGTGGAGTTACTGATGGAGGAAGGTTCTCCTCAATATGAACACGGATATTGGAGGCCAACTCACCACATAATAACTTTAATGCTGAGTAGGAAGCAGGAAAGGGAAAAAAACAATCACTTAGTTGACTCAGGTACTTGGGCTAGAGAAACCAGCCGCAGTAAATGAGATGAATGACTCTGTTTCACTACATCAAGAGTTGCAAATTACAGGATACCGTCTGATTAGACTTCTTTGACCCCCACATGAGTTGGTTACAGAAACATTTAGGGCAGAGTTTCATTGATCTGCCTATAGTTCATTAATCATTCATGAAAGATTCTAGCTGTACCCCAAGACTACTGGGACAAAGCAAGTTTTCAGCCAGCAGTAGTCATGGTTAGGTTCTCAATCTCAAGAGATTGCATCTCCTTTCTCCATCCTTTATTGCAATGAGCCAGAGCCTGGGAACATAATCAGCAGATATTCAGGTTTCAGTGTGTGTTAAATGAGCTACCAAAATTACTTGAAGTGTCACAAGTTGCAATCTGTTGTGGAAGGGAAATCAAAGAGGAAATTAAATACTTTCATTGTAATTGGGACTGAGCAGCGAGCTAGCTCGTTGTAATTGGGACTGAGCAGTGAGCAGAACGGGTTGAATACAGCTATTGAGCTGGAGATACAGGAGCACTAAGAGTGTCCCCAGGAATCCCTCGTCTTTTTTTTTTAATCTGTTTGGAAAATAATTGCTTCATAAACTGCTGGGCTTGCAGGCATTTTTGGATTGCAATTGAGATGCAATTGAGAACTACCGAAGAATGTTCTGCTCGGCTTGGAAGAGTGTCTTGGAGCCACTGCAGGCTGACTGTAGATGCATTTTTCTATACCTCAGCCATGACATGCTTTGGTAAATAAAAGCCAATAAATTGACCCTTGGCAGATTCAGGCATTTTGCTTTCCATTTTTCCTGTCCTGTGGATTAATCACTGTTATCGTGAGAGAGCTCTGTTACAGCAATTGTATGGAGTTACACAAGTTACGCCAGAGACTTCCCTGAGGTGGCACAGGTGTAC